ATATATATATATATATATATATATATATATATATATATATATATATGTATTGCGAGCAGCCAGTGTCTGTTTCTCCCCTATATATATATACATTCCTCCTATTTCCTCATCACCACCAACATTTCATTAATGGCCGCACTCGATAAATCAGAAATCCCTCCTCCTCCTCCTCTTGATGCTTTCTCAAATATTGAACTCCATGATTCTTTAATGTCTGATTTTGACTTCCTAAATTGGTCTACACAACATGTTTCTGATTCGTCATCCTCATGGAGTTCATCATCCTCTGCTTCGCCTGATTATCTGCACTCCAATCAACTCAATAACACCTGCCATCTTAGGGCTTTCGATGATTCTATTAATTTCTCCGAGTTCGAGTTCAAACCTGCTGAAGCAATCGATTTAACTGTACTGGTTGAATCCAACACTCCAAAGCGGTCGAGGAAGATGAATGATGATCAAGGACGCTACAGAGGTGTTCGAAGAAGGCCTTGGGGAAAGTATTCGGCGGAGATCCGAGATCCAAAGCGCCGTGGATATAGGCTGTGGTTAGGTACGTTTGATTCCGCCATTGAAGCTGCAAAAGCTTACGATAGAGCTGCCTTTAACATACGTGGTAGGAAAGCCATTCTGAACTTCCCTCTGGAGATTGAGAAGAACTTGACGGAAAATGCAGGTGTCGTCAAAGGCCGCCGGAAAAGATCCAGAGAGACGGTGGAGGTGGAACGGTTGGAGAATCTGGTGGTTAAGAGGGAGAGGACGGTGTCGGTTTCTCCGTCCCCATAAAATTGTAAACCTGTTCTTTTTTTTTTAATTTAAATATAAAATTACTCAACCTTCAAGGTGTATTTGGTACGCTGGACAGGGTGGGACAGGACATAACAGATTTGTCCTACGTTTGGTGTGGCTTAATGTGGAACTAAGTAGAACAAGGTAGTACAAGAATGGGACACGCTTGTTCTTCTTTACCCCCTAGAACTAAGTGGAACACAACTTTTTTTACCTGACTACCCTTTCCCCACCCGGCTCATCGCATGAAGACCTAACCCCCCTTCTCCTCCATCGGTTCCTTCAACTCCACCGGCGGCAACTCTTCGGCCCCTTCCCACCAGATTCTCTTCCGATGGCCACCGCTGCTGCTTCTCCGATGGCCACCGCTGCTGCTGCTTCTTCTATCACTGGTTGTTGATTCATGCCGTTGATCAGGCAAACAGGTTCAATGTCCCTGTTGCGGTTGCATTTAATTTGTTCGATGGCTTCTTAGATGCAAAAGCTCGTTAATTAAGGTATATGCTAAGAGGATTACAGCAACTACATTACGAATTCGAAGAAACTCTTCAAATACCTTTCTTCTTGTTTCAGGCAAGTAAGGAATTATATTTTGATGGTGGTTTCGTACTCGATTTCGCCAACAACTTGATTAATTGAAGTACTTATTAGGGATTTTAATGAAGTATTATGATTTATTTCGAGAGTTTACGTTGATTTTGAAGTTTAAAGTTGGTTTGCTTGACCACAGGCAAGTAAGGAATTATATGTTGATTCTCTTCCAATTGCTGAATGTTGTTGTTGTTGATGAATTATTAGGGCTGTAGTGGTAGTAGGACCAGTGTTACCAGAATGCATTTCGTAGTGAAAAAACACTAAACAGCTCACTAGGGGGTAAATTGGTCATTTTAACCAGTTCTGTCATGTCCTGTCCTGTCTTACCAAACGCTGAACAGTTGTCCTGTCCTGTCCCGTCCTGTCCTGTCTTGTCCTATCCAGTCCTGTCTGCGCACCAAACGCACACTCAAGGAATTTAATTATATTTTCGGCCAAAATGTAACAAATGTTTTGATTCAGTTCCTATTTAATGCAATATAACAAACTTTCTCGGGTTTTCTTATTTTATATATATTTTAACCGGTAACCTATTAAATCGGTTAACATCCGATGACATGGATGACAATCGTCACTTGGTGCCTAATTGTTTTGAGCTTGACTCCAAAAGTCAAAAGTACCAGGAGGTCTCAGGTTTAAATCCAAGGGGGAATAAAAATTTATTTGTGGGCACGAAGGTTCAAATGTAATGACTCTAGATTATCTGCAAAACAGATGGTCTCCCTAAAACACCAGATTAATAAAAAAAGGGTCAAAAATACATTTAAGTATCACCTAGTTTAGAACATATGTCTAACGATGTTTTTGTTTCAAATTTACGTCTTGTTTGCTTTGATGTATCTCACATTTTTGAACAAATTATGTTACAAAATTAATTATTATATATTATAATATTTAAATTTGTTAATGTAAAATTTAGAAAAATTTACTAATTATGATTTTAAATAACTATTATATATACTATAAATAAAAAGAAAAATGGTCTATCTCAAATATCATAATCAATTAATATATCACAAAAAATATATTTAATATTTATATTAAATATTTTATTCAAATTATTTGACACATTTTTATTATCTATTAAACAAAATAAATACAACTTTAGACTTTGTGTTACATAAAGATTATTAAAATTGTTACATTTGCGGTTTGATAATTAAATATATTTAATAATAACTAGAAGGGTACTCGTGTAATGTATCGAGACACATTTCAATTTCAATGTTTTATTTTATTTTTTATCTATGTCAATATAATACGATTTTATGTGGTTTTGAGAAAACGATAATGTTTTTATTTTTAAATAAAATATAAATTTGAAAATATTATATAAAATTTGCAAAAAATATATTAATATTAATTAGTATT